AATAAAGAAATCTTATCATTCACCCTCTACTGTCTAGAATAAAGAAATCTTATCGTTTGCCAGCTACCCTCTAGAACAAAGAAATCTCTCCCCTCCCCAACAGCACGTGGGTACACATGCATCTCGCCATGCCATAGCTGCCGGTGTGAGTTCACCCACTCACCCGATGACCCCGAGCACTGGGACTGCTGTCAGAGCATTCGTGGGTGCAGAGATTGCCTGTCCAGTGCCCACCAGCTCATTAGCCTCCCCACGCCAACACTGCCACTGGTGTGCACACACACAGGGAGACCAGAGGATCCACCCCCACTGCAAGCAGCTGCTGCCACCAGCGTGGAAGTGCACACAGAGGGTGTACACAATCCTGTGAGGCCAGAGCCCCACCACCGTGCTAACACCACTACCAGTGCAAATGCTCATACGAACACCTGCGGGGCTCCTGCCCACCCCACCCAGCCTTGCTGACATCACTGCACTGAACACCGACACGGAGGCCAGCACCCCTGCACCCACCAGCAACCCACTGCAGCCAACAAATGTGTACGTCCCAGAGGAAAAGACATCATCACATCAGAAACACACTTGCATACATGTGTTTATTGTAGCAAAATTCATAATTGCAAAGATGTGGAATCAACTTAAGTGCCCATCAGCCGATGAGTGAATGTGGTACATACACACAAGAAAATACTATTCAGCCATTGAAGAAAATGAAATAATGTCTTTTGCAGCAACCTGGATGAAGCGGGGGGCCATGACACTAAGTGAACTAACTCAGCAATGGAAAACCAAATACTGTATGCTCTCACTTATAAGTGGGAGTTAAGTTATGGGTAATCAAAGACATATAAAGGGGTATAATGAACATTGGAGACCCAGAAGGGAGAAAGGGGGTGGAGAGTGAGTAATAAAATACTACGTACCAAATACAATGTACACTATTTGGGCAACGGGTGCCCTAAAACCTCAGGCTTCACCACTGTACAATTCATTCATACAACTAGAAACCACTTGTACCCCAAAAGCTATTGAAATAAAATACATTTTTTAGAAAAAACTATAATACAAAGCTACAGTAATCAAAACATTATGGTACTGGTACAAAAACAGACACATAGACCAATGAAACAGAATAAAGCCACACACCTACCATCATCATCTGAAATTAAACAAAGTCAACAAAAATAGGCAATGGGGAAAAGACTCTCTATTTAAAAAATAATCCTGTGATAACTGGCTAGCCATATGCAAAAGAATGAAACTGGACAGACCCCTACATATCACCATATACAAAAATTAAAGCAAGACAGATTAAATATATATATATATTTTAAGACGGAGTCTCCCTCTGTCGCCCAGGCTGGAGTGCAGTGGCGTGATCTCGGCTCACTGTAAGCTCTGCCTCCTGGATTCCTGCCATTCTCCTGCCTCAGTCTCCCGAGTAGCTGGGACTACAGGCGCCCGCCACCACACCCGGCTAATTTTTTTTGTAGTTTTAGTAGAGATGGGGTTTCACCGTGTTAGCCAGGATGGTCTCGATCTCTTGACCTTGTGATCTGCCCCCTTTGGCCTCCCAAAGTGCTGGGATTACAGGCGTGAGCCACCGAGCCCGCCCCAGATTAAATATTTTAATGTAAGATCTCAACCTATAAGAATCCTAGAAGAAAGCATGGTGGAAACCCCATCTCTACTAAAAATACAGGAAAAAAAAAAAAAAAAAAGCCTGGCATGGCGACAGGCACCTGTAATCCCAGCTACTTGGGAGGCTGAGGCAGGAGAACTGCTCGACCTGGGGGGCAAAGGTTGCAGTGAGCCGAGATCGCGCCACTGCACTGCAGCCTTGGCAGCAGAGCCAGACTCCGTCTCAAAGAAAAATAAATAAATAAATAAATAAATAAATAAATAGGAAACATCTTCCTTGATACAGGCAAAGTGTTTATAGCTAAGTCCTCAAAAGCAATTAAACAAAAACAAAAATTCACGAGTGGGACCTCATTAACCTACAGAGCCAGCGAAGGTCTAATATTCAGAATCTGCAAGCAACTTACACAAATCAGCAAGCACAAAACAAACAGCCCCATTAAAAAGTGGGCAAAGGACATGAACAGACTCTTTTCTAAAGAAGACACACATATGTCCAAAAAGCATATGAAAAAATCTTCAATATGACTCATCCTTAGGGAGATGCAAATTAAAACCACAAGGAGATACCCACACCACTCATAACAGCTATTAGTAAAAAGTCAAAAAATAACAGATGCTGGTAAGGCTGCAAAGAAAATGGAACAAGTGTCGGTGAGAACATAAATTAGTTCAGCCACTGTGGACAGCAGTTGGGAGATTTCTCAAAGAACTAAGAGGTGAACTACCATTCGGCCTAGCAAACCCATTGATAAGTATATGCCCAAAGGAAAATAAATTATTCTACCAAAAAGATAGATGCACCTATATGTTCATTGCAGCACCATTCACAATAACAAAGACATGGAATAAACCCAGGTGTCCATTAACAATGGACTGGATATATGCACCATAGAATACTACACAGCAATCAAAAAGGAAGTCATGCCCTTTGCAGCAGCATGGATGGAGCTAGAGGTCATTAGCCTAAGTGATGTAACGTGGAAACAGAAAGTCAAACAGCACTTTGTCACTCATAAACAGGAGCTAAACATTGGGCACACGTGTGCATAGATAAATGTCTGTTCATGTCCTTTGCACACTTGTTAACGGGGCTGTTTGTTTGTTGCTTGCTGATTTGTGGAAGTTGCTTCTAGATTCTGAATATTAGGCCTTCACTGAATCTGAAGGTTAATGAGGTCCCACTCATCAATTTTTGTTTTTGTTTAATTGCTTTCGAAGACTTAGCTGTAAACACTTTGCCAATGCCTGTAACAACAGGATGTTTCCTGTGATTTTTTTTTTCTTTGAGACAGTCTGGCTCTGGCACTGGAGACACTTAGAATGGGGAGAGAGGGAGGAGGGCAAGGGTTGAAAAACTGTCTGTTGGGTGCTATGCTCACTACCTGGGTTTACGGATTCATTTGTTCTCCAAACTTCAGCATCACGTAATATACCTTTCTAATAAACTTGCGTTATGTGCCCCCACATTCTAAAATAAAAGTTGAAAATAATAATAAGGAACTAAAAATTAATAGGCATGCATCTTAGCAATATAAACTCAAGTACAAAATGGAAGAGGCCCAAGTGTTAGAGATTTTGAAATTTAAAACAACTATAAATGTGATTGTATATATGGGCATGTAGGGACAACTGAGCTTCATCTGTAAGAACTACTGGTGGAAAGTGGAGACTCCTTACTGGCCTGAGAAGAAAGAGACAGCCCTGAGTCTTGGTGTCTGAGGAGAAAAAGTATGTGTTTCTGTGCCATTCTTGGTCCGAAAAAGGTGTTATAAAGAAGAATCTTGGTTCCCTGTCTCTTTTCTTAGGCCAGATAATTGTAATAGTAACTATGCATGTGTATATACATGTGTATATATGTCTATATTTGTCTTTATAAAAGCTCACATCTCCCAAGTATCACACAAAACCCTTTTTGTCTTTTTTTTTCCCACACCCATGGAGAAGTACAAACAGGATGTGATACTCTAATATCACTCAGTTTTCTAAAATATGTAGGTTGCAATTTCCCATGAAGTGAAAGTATTCCTAGTTCACATTGAGAAAGTACCAGATTCAGTTTCTCATAGGACCAACAATTGTCTGAACCAAGGGAAATTACAAACGATCTGGTCTTATGTTTTTCTCCAGCTATCTGTGATGATCTGTAAGAGTTTGTGGTTGCAGGTAAAAACATATATCACTCAGGAGGGCGTGGTGGCTCACACCTGTAATCCCAGCACTTTGGGAGGCAGAGGCCAGCAGATTATATGAAGTCTGGTGTTCGAGACCAGCCTGGCCAACGTGGTGAAATCCCGTTTCTACTAAAAATACAAAAATTAGCTGGGCATGGTGGCAAGCACCTGTAACCCCAGCTACTCGGGAGGCTGAGGCAGGACAATCGCTCGGACCTGGGAGGCAGGAGGTTGCAGTGAGGCAAGACTGCCCCACTGCACTCCCAGCCTGGGTGACAGCGTGAGACTCTGTCTCAAAAAAAAAAAAAAAAAAAAGTATGTCACTCAAACTGACACCTTCATGGATCTTAGAACCTTGGTCATGTTCCCATGAGAATTCCATTCATTCCATTCAAGATCTAACTTTCCTAAATATCTGTGTATCCAACACAGCAGCACTCAGATTCATAAAAGAAATTTGTAAAGAGCTTCAAAGAGACTTAGACTCCCACGCACAAATAGTGGGAGACTTTAATACCCCACTTACAATATTAGACAGATCCTCAAGACAGAAAATTGACTAAGATACTCAGGACCTGAGCACAGCACTGGATCAAATGGGCATGATAGACATCTACAGAACTCTCCACGTCCCCAAACCAGAATTTACATTCTTCTCATCACCACATGGCACATGCTCTAAATTCAGTCACATGATTGGAAGCAAAACACTCCTCAGCAAATTCAGTTTGTGACAACTGAAGTCGGCACAAACCACTCTCTGACCACAGCACAATCAAATTAGAAATTGAGACTAAGAAACTCACTCAAAATCATACGATTACATGGAAATTAAAAAACCTGCTCCTGAATGACATCAGGGTAAATAATGAAATTAAGGCAGAAATCAAGACGTTATTACAAACGAATGAGAGCAAAGATACAACATACCAGAATCTCTGGGACACAGCTAAGGGAGTGTTAAGAGGAAAATGCATAGCACTAAATGTCCATGTCGCATTAGTTGTGATGACCTAACATCATAACTAAAAGAACTAGAGAATGAAAAGCAAACAAACCCCAAAGCTAGTAGAATACAAGAAAGAACCAAAATCTGAGCTGAACTGAAGGAGATTGGGACACAAAAAAAATCATTCAAAAGATCAACAAATCCA